ACTGTGTTCAAGATCGAATCGAAACTTGGTTCAAACCAAGCCGAGCCAAGCTCGGATAGCTCATGAAAAGCTCGACTTGTGGTCACCCCTACTATTAATGATAGGTCCACTTTAAATTGAGTGCTAAAATCATTTCTTACTACTTAATACTTAAACCCATATGGCCATGCCCTTTTTGAGATCATGTGAATTTGGACTTGCCAATATAATTCCAATGAATTTCTACCTTTATGCAACATCCCCAGCGACTACTACATTTATGTTAAGGAACGAAAAATAACCGCGAATCTTCTATTTCATCTTTTTTTTTTTTTTGATATTTCTTATTCAAAGCAAGTTATGACTTTTGACCAAGTTTTATTACGAAAACACTAAATATTTTCTAAATTGCATGAATCGCAATTGCCTTTACCATCAGGCTAGGTGAAGTTGGACCAAGTTCCAACCCTATCACATATGGGCCTGGCAAATACAACTCATAGTTAAATATTTATTGGGTCCAGTTATGGCGCATTAACAAATATTTGCAACACATTAAATCAAGATTTTAAACAATTATATTAAAAGCCTTACATGATTTACTTAGGGTCCGTTTGGCAAGTCTTTTGAGAAGATCTTCATGAAGCTCTCACAGTCAATAGACGTATTGAGCTATTGATATAAGATCTAGGCAGCCTGAAAACCGTTTGGCAAGTGTGCATCTTTCCATGTGTCGTTTCAAGTCTTTCCGTGCGAGATTAAAATGTGAAACATGCGGGAAGTTTCATTTGGAGCTTCCCGAAATAGGCTTTTTGCGTCTTTTCAACACCATATCTTTTGGCGGCTAGATCTTCCATGTGCCAAACAGAAATAAACCGATTTTCAATATTCCTGATTTGTAAATAACCGAAAAACCGCACAAAAAACACACTAACAGCGCCTTACTTTTAATGAAGTGAATTTTTACATGCACAAAATGTAGACGCACCTACTATCAATACTTTAATAATGTTAAAGATGTCAATTGTGATGTATCATTTCATTTGCTTCACCATGAATGCACCATAAGTTTTGCTTGTTTATCTAATTGGTGTCTTTAAAAACAGCCATATTAGATGCATAGCTGTTATAAATTAAAGCTCCATGTCAACATCCATAGGCTTCAAGGGGTTGGTGAGGACCAGACAAGTATGGGCTAAAACGTGCACACACCGTGATAGGCTTGTGTTAAACATTGTGTCATAGAGAAGTGTCAAAGGCTCTGTCTTTGCCGTGGGAATTTTGTCTACACTGACATAAATGCATGGGAATATAGATGGGCTGAGTGTAAATTCTGATTTATTATTGCTTTAGATTTGAACTTGGACGTTCTCTTTAGGAGGAATAAGGCTGGAAACAAAAATATGAGATTAACACCTTACATGAGAGAGGATTAATTAATATAGGAAGAAAGTGATACAATACAAAGCTTTCTTTAATTAAATGCAAAATTTGTACTTTCAATGAATACAAATGAGACAAAAGGTGCAAACTTCGCATCATATAGGAGTATAAATCATAATCGCAAACAAAGTAATGTAAAACTTAAAACTAAACCACTTGCAGAATTTGCAACCGGTTCAGATTTGACTGCCAAAAAAAAAGTTCAAACGAAACCATGTTCCATGGAATTACTGAGGCTACCGGTACTCAGGCAGTCAGGCCTGATGGTTATTGGCCAAGGGCCAAGGCCAGGCCGCCATGTATGGTCGTGCTCATGGTTTTCAAAATTGGACCGGACCGGAAAAATCAGGAACCGGTTAAGTGATTGGTTTTGGTTTTTCCCAAAATTGAAATTTCTTCAAAAATCGTTGATTTTGGTCAATAAACCACTGATCCGGGTGGTTAATCGTTCGAACGATTTTGACAGTTTTTATTTATTTTAATTTTTTTGTCATAATAGACTGATCATTCAGTTTAAACGGTCAGACCGTTCAACTCAATAACCAGACTCCTGTCCGGTTCGGTCTCCAAATCGATTCTAAAAACCAAGGTCGTGCTCCATACGGCTTTAACCAACTACACAAAAGTAGTTTATTCTGTGTATATATGGGATTGCTGGGTTGCTAGTATTCAGGCCTGATGGTTATTAGCCAAGGCCACACCGCCCGCCGCCGTGTATGGTCGTGCTCCACCTGACTTTGACCAACTGCCGGCGGTATTAAAATATGCAGATAAAAGCTGCCATGGTTGTGTAGACTATAGACAACTGAGACTACCACAAATTGCCGGCTACCAGCGACTACCACCAATTAATTATTTTCATTAATGTTTGTAATATTATACAGCTTTCTATAGTTATATTACGTTTAGTAATATTCTAAATGTCTGTTGAAATAAATTTGTATAGATATCTAGTCTCAATAACTCTCCAAAACCAGAAATTTACAAAATTTCACCAACATTCGAAACCATGAATGAGAGGCCACACTAAAGGATGAGGAAAAGGAGCCGAGGACAAAGAATGCAAAGCAAATAAATAGAAATAAATAAGTTAATTTTTGTTCTAAACTTGGATTTTGCTATCGGTCAGGAAGCCCTGGGCCCGATGCAGGGTGCACTACCACGAAGAGCCTACAGTCATGCAAGTTTGGTCTAGTGCCTCCCTATTTGGAAAGGAGAGGATGACCATCTCCCTATTTGGAATCCGCTTTCTAATACCGTGTTTTTTAAGAACGCAAATGAATCCGATCAGATTCGAATCAAGGTATATTCAAATTCGATTCAATATTGCTTATGTTGGATTCGATCTAATCTGATCTGAAGATCTGATTGGATATGATAGAATTCGATTTGAATTCGAATCCTATTTATAAGTCGGATCTTCAGATCTAATCTGATCCAACTTGTTTTCTTTAAAAATTAATAAACTATTAAAAGAAAAATAAAATATACTAATTTAAATAAAGTAAAAACAAAAAATATAAATATTTTTTAATTATTTTCATCAAATATATACATGTTTTTTATAAAAAATAATAATATAACAAATTTATAAACAATATATGTATTATATATATACATATATATATATATATATATATATA